CCAGGAACGTTGAAAACACTGTCTAGTCCGCCTGTCTTCGGGACCCAAAAGTTGAAGCGGTCATGGAAAATGACGAATATGCTCCCTGCTTGAGAAGGGGCTGTTCTTTACCTCACTTATTATACACGACCTTTTATTCTCATGCAGCACTGTGGTAAATACACTGCTGTTGAATGATATTTGTCGAAATCGTTGGCAAATATGAGGTCACAAAATTCAGCTGTATGTGCGAGGAGGCAGAGTAAAGTGAATTTGATTTTGCAGTGTAAACCAAAATCTGCCTTAAACCTGACGTAGCAGTGTTAGGCGTATTACAACGTGCAACGTTGTAAATCTACGAAGATTTGGATGTACAGTTCGCTATATATCATAGCCTCCCTGACTGTCGTGTTCAACAGAACTTTTCGTTTTAACTATGGACAGTGACCCGTTGTTGGACGTCTAGAAAATGCTATGCGCTGTCGTTGTACTATTTCTACTTTTTCTGTACTTGCTGTACTTTCACCACAGTTCGTTGCGAGCAGGTCAGGATGGAATCCAAGTTATTCAGTTCTTGGAAAATATCATTTTCCAGGCGATCGATGCCCAAAAACGTCGTGACAGTGACAAAAGCAAAGGCTCGACAGTTGCTGAAACCAAAGAGAACAAAACCGCTGAAAAGACTGTGAGAAACAGACATGTAGAAGCGAAAGAACTGCGATCAGAGGACAGGCAACGGGCAAAACAGCAGGATCGAGCGACCAAAACAACCGAGGTTTCGAAGTCCACTTCCATCCAGAACTTGAAAGTTACGAGGTTGAAAGATGAGAAGCATCAGCACAGAAAGAAAGCTCGGAAAATCCAAAGTGCTGAGAAAGAAATGAATGGAACAACCGAAACGCTACCGAATAAATCTAAAATAAAAGCCGACACCAAATCGGCCGGAAAAGTGCCAAGAACATCTAAGGCTCTGAAAGCTGAGCGAGGGGTGCTCCTAAAAGAAAGGATTCATGGGAAAGGGAGAAACGAGAGAAAGTCTAAGGCTGTACCAAGCTTGCGCAAACTCGAGAAGCACAAGGAGGTATCTGAGAAAGAAGAAAAAGTAAAAGAAGTTGGAAAACTAGCAAGCGATAAGTCATGGGCAATGAAAAAGTCGGTGACCAGGGAGGCTGTAACAAAGAAGACACCTGAAGATATATTGGGCGAACTCGCCAAAAAGGAAATAGCCGAAACCGAATCTCAGAAAAGACCAACGAATAGCTATATCTGGTTGAGGGCCATGGCGCACCGCAGAAGATCACCGGACCGTAGAAGCGAAAAGTCGGTTCCTAGTGCGAACTCAATATCATCTACTGCTGCAGTTACGTCATCCGCAATCCGCAAGGTCCGAAATTTATCGAGAAAAATGAAGAATAAAAGTCAACGTGTCAAGGGCTTCGTGAAGAGCCTCGTCTCAAGGAAGAGCCAATCAAAGGCGGGACTGAATCAATCGAAATCATTGCCTGAGGCTGTATCAAAAACCGGCAGCAGGAAGATGGTAAAACCACCGTCGAGGCTCCACGAGAAGCCATTGAAGGGTCGAATGAAATCGTCGGTGAAAAAAAGGCATGTCAGGAAAAAATACACAGAACGGAAACAGTTAACCGCGGAAAAAACTTACAATAAAATGCATGCCACGAAAGGCGAATCTCAGTTGAGCAGTTCGAGAAAAAGACGTTCCGACGATACGACAATGGAAGAAGGCAGTTCGACGAAGGTCCGCAAACTTACGGAAAGTGCAGACGCGCAAAAGTCGTCCGAAAGTGAAGTGAAACTCCACGAAACTACACCCGTAATGGCGGCCAACAAGAAATACAAGCCGGAGAAGGCACAAGCCGTTTCTTATCCCAGGTCTTGGTCACAGTCAAGCGATGAAAGAGAAACTGGTAAAGAGAAAGAACCAGCTAAGGTCGCAAAGAGAAGTCGTATATTCATTAGCCGAAAAGACGGCACCACCTCCGAATTGACACAGCTCAGCAACACAGAGTTGGAAGAGGTTTTAAGTGACAGCGCGATAGAGCGGCTTTTCGAATTCGTCAAGAAACGTCATCGCCGAAAAGAAACAATCAAGGCAGAGTCCAGAACGACGAGCGAAGGCAACGAAGAGGGTTGTAAAAATCATATGGAAACTAAAAATGTAAATAATAGCTCTGAAAATGACGAAGGGCTAGGCACGGCCGTGAAAACTGGGAAATTGACACTGCACCATGATCAGAAAGATGAGACAGACGAAAAAAGTCAGAATGAAGAACCAACGCTCTGCTATTTGTGATCCGAATATACACAAGAAGGCAAATTTTGATTGACTTTTCTGACATAGAACCCAGATAAAAATATTTCAGCAGTACCTCAAAATACTCAGTAGTCATACCGCGTATTCAAAGTCGTATTTAAGAAACGCTGTTTCACGATTTACGGAAATTTTTATATAATGAACTTATGTGTTTCTCTTGTTTGTTTGCCTTGCTGTACCTAGAGTCAAATTTGTAGGACCATTTTCGGTGCAAGTCTACGTAGGAAGCGCCATGAAAAGTTGTTTAACAATTTTCAGCAGTGCTGTCGGCGTAACATTCTTTGTAAGTACGGCGGTTTCATCGAATAAAGAATAAAAGGATCTTGGAAGCGCGGATCTGATGATGCGCGCGCCCTGAAAACATTACAGACTGCGGCGTCTGTCATGGCTTGATAGATCCAGAGAGATAGGTGGGGATCTAAGCGACTTAGTATGAAGGAATTGGTTCGTCTCTATAACGAATAAGATCGAGGTGTCCTCATCATTTGACAGTATGCCCCGTGAAAAACAATTATCCTTTGCCATTTAATGATATCTTCACCGGGTTTTGTGATATTTAGATTTTTTAGCAAATCTCTGTAATTATTAGATTGCAGCATTCACATTTAGAGAGATTACGTGTTCATTTGAGAGCTATAAAACTGTCTGATTCTCAATCTGCCATCCACAGCCAGTGGATGCTGTGCGTTAGTGACATATGTCCATGTCATTAAACCGAACCGAAATGGGAACAGATTCATTTGAAGCATCGTTGATGGGCACGCCAGGACGTTTCCACTCCGGAAAACTGAAACCTAGCCATTTTTACTGTAGTTCTTCACAAAATGTTCCTGGCTCAAAAATATGCTATGTCTTTTATTTTTAGGCCCAACAAAGGCGAAGCCAAAATAAAGCAGTAAAAAATGTACAGAAAAAGAAACGTAGCAATATTAAAATGATATCAGAAAAGTAACGATGAAGATCAAGAAATAGAAGAGTAAGAAGAAGAACAAATTGTTGTCCTCGTTCTAATGAGTTAAGTTCTTCAACCACTTTGTTCTAGCATTGAAAAATTGAACCTCACTTCATTTAGCTATAGGGACAATAACATGTGATGAACATAGCAGGTATAGATTCGGCCATCGCAGGTGATAAAATTTTTGTTATTGACTGCCAATTCAATTGAGGAAAGAATTTCTCCCTCATCTACCTGTGAAAGCCTACTGAGAAACGGTAACAAGTCATACTTTGAAAAAAGCCCTCCTGGAAAACTTAGAAATCTGCTATAATTAGATGCACTGCTAATATAACCGACTAGATGGCTGATATGAAAAGCTGAAAATCGAATCCGGAAAAAAGTGCCAAAAAGGTAGGATCGGCTAAATTCACGGGTATGTTGACACGGTGCTGGTCAAAACCCAGTAGATCAAGAGCCGGCAAAAGTAGGATACGTCCGAAACATACACTGTCATGCTCTACGTCCATCCTCCCTGTGGTGTAGAGCAATAGCAGATTCGGCTTAAATAAAACTGATATAATCAAAGCGCAACTCCGCAGTTTCCGATCCCAAGCCAAGAGGAGAAAGGAGGAT